GCGCGATGCTTTTATTTATTGGAAACAAGACGTTGAAATTGAACATTCAACTGGAACCGAGCGCAGCTCGTTCTAATAACCGTTCCCCGGATCAATGTTTCGCGCGCGTCTCGCGCGTCAGAGAAGCAGACGAAAGGAGCGGGTCGTCTGTTTTCGCACGGCGGATTGCGAGAGCGTTTCCGGTCGCCGGCACCGCAATAAAACGACGCGGAGGAGAGACATCGTTTTGCTCGTTAGTGTGTCACCGTGCCACTCCTAGCGGTACATCGAGCTCGCCCCGGCCTCTCGTTGTTATGCAAAGAACATTTCCTCGTCGACGAATCGACGGCCGGTTCCTCCGCCTCCGTTGACCTCTCGCGCTTTCCAACCGTTCGTTGCACTTTCCGCGGTCGAACTTCCTGCAAGGAAGAGCCGCGCGCTGTTAAATGTCACGCCGGGGCGACGCGCTGGAAGCGGTCACTGCTCTCCGTTCGCCGATCGGAGGGTTTCATTCGCGCGTTAACGCTTCGACGGTGGTATCTTTCATAGACGAATACCGCCCATCGCTGGCGGTCCTTTTCTAACATTAATGCAATGCGATATCTACGGAAGCGAACGTATAAAAGTACTGTCAAGTGCTAGGAAGCTGCCACTCTCATATAATTGTTCAAATTCGGTTCCAATCGCATGATTCGCCGAGGCGCTTATACGCACCGATCGGATCGCAGAACGAAGAAAGCGAAGCGACGTCCCGTGACGTCACGAGTTCCAGTTTCCCAGCAGTTGACGGTAAATGGGACAATATCGGAAAACGAAAGGGAACGCCGGTCGGACGCTTTAATTCGTTTTCCCCGATGGATAAGTTGAAACTGTCGAGGAGGTCCGGCGAGGGAAAACACCGGCGACGGATTACCTCACCGTCAGGGATTCCTCGGATCCTTGCGCGCGCGGTTACACAACGCAACGCCCCATTTGCATAAAAGCCCCGGCCACGGCCGGTGCACGGTGAACGTGCTATCGGACGTTTTACTCTCGAACAGGAGGTCGTGTGCGCGCAGGGGCAGCATCGGAGCTTCTGCCTAGGAGGAGTCGTAACGGGAGACAATGCATACTAAACGTATCATGGGTAGTCGTACTCCCGTGTCGTAACCATCGTCGCAAGTCATAACTAGATCGTAGATTTTATGCATTTACGGCGCATACAATTGTCCGGAGCCGAACGGATGCAAGAAGCTGGCCCTTGGCTGCTTAAGCGACTCCTCCTGCGCGCCGATCTGTTCTCGAGGCGTTTAAGGCAATTTAGAGAGCATATTGAAACGAATGGTGCCATTCAAGTTTTATTTTTAGTAAATAGATAATGACGCTAGGAGATCCGTCCCGCGTTTGCAGTAAATCGTGCGTAGTGTTAGACACTTTTTAATGTCACAAGAACTACCGAGCACTTAAGACGATTAATATATCAGATCCCTATAGAAAACGCAACAATAGGTTATCTCCGGTTCATTATAGTATTCGAGTGAGACTACTTATCTTTATAATAAAGAGATATTAATAATTGCGAAACAACAAAATCGAAACCGGTCATTTCGATCGATACAGTGCTTCTAGTGTTAAGCGGATTATCGACTCCGGAAGTTCCACGGTGTTTTATATATGTAGAGCAATTAATCCGATAGATACGTGTTTCTGTAGAGATCCCATATTCAGCGGGAACCGCGCTCCGTTGGTGCCTGCGGCGAATCGCGCGGCTAAAAGCAATCGGCCAAGTTGGCCGAGGAATATTTGTTCTACTCGCGGCGGTTCACGGCGAAATCATGCGTGGGTGGCGTCGAAGGTCCCCCGAGTTCTCGATAGGAGAGGCTCGCGTCGCCTCCTAAAATTCGCGAAATATTTATAGCTCGCAGCTGCACAATCGCCACGGTCTTGGAGCCGTGGGAGCACGCACGCCTCGCCCCTCCCCGCCGCCCCTCCCGTTCCGCGTGCGTGTTCGACGGCAGCGGCTCGCCGTTTACCAGTAACCGATGTAACGTAACGGTGCGTGAAATCCACATGGCACGCCAGGTCATCGTCGGGAAAAAATCATCCTATTAACGGTACACGAACGTCGTCCTTTGAATTCGTCGCGCGTAGACTGTCGCATAGGAGAGCTGCTGCCTCGCCTCGCCGCGCCGCGCCTAACGAACGAACCGAGCGCATCGGTTTTCGTTCGTGGAACGAACATTTTAATCCCACGCTGAAATCGCGAGGACGAAGGCTGCGACGTGAGAAATTCACGGACGAACATTCGATTGTCTCGATCGCTTAGCTACAGGGACACGTTTCGTTCGACGCGTTTCGTTCGTACGGATACTAGAAAACCGCAGGAGGAATCGTCGCCAGAACGAACGCGCGCATTCGAACGTCCGCGTCGCGCAGGACAAGATCGCTCGACCGAGAAATTCCGAGCGCACCCCCTGCAATTACACACGTCCCAGATATCCCTTTCCGCCGTCAGTCGCCATGTGTTCGGCCTAATAGTCGGCCGAAACGACGTCGAAGCCGGCCGACACGGATTTCTCGGAGTCGTTAAATCGAGCGAACTCGAAACGGGACAGCTGTGAAAATTTGTTTTTCAGCGGCCTCGTCCCTGCGCCATCGTGTGCGTACAGCCACGTATGTATCTCTTCTGCCCCCCTTCCTTCGGCTGGCCGTAGATTCCCCGGATCCGCAGGAACGGGCCGGTTTTCCCCGGTTTCGAGGGCGAAGGGATGAAACCCTTGAGCCAGCCGACACCCTCGCCGACGTCTTCGCACGAGGGGTTGTCTCTCTGTCGTGTAGCTCGGCGGAGAGTGGGCCACTCGTGCGAAAGAATGGACACGGAAAAGGGGGTTGACGGTGGTGTAGTGCACGGGTTGCGTGTACGAATCTCCGGTATGTACACTTGTGCTCAGAAGCATCTTACCATTCGGAGGAACTCAATCCGCAGAGGTTTCGCATTCTTGAACATTTCCGTCATCCCCGTTTCGTTAAAAACTGCGTGCTCCTCTACTTCAAGCACAAAAGTGTAACTATTCTTCGAAGGTATTAGAATATCTAAGAGACTTACGGAAGTTCGTCCTAACGAGCAACCTTAAAATCGAACCCATCAACTTCAACACATTTCTCTAAATACGCCTCGAGGTTCGTCGCGTAGCCGAAGGTTTCCCTTGCAAAGCCGCGTGCAAGCTGCGAGAAGAGGTTGTCGAATCGAAGGGAAAGAAAGGAAGAAAGGCGGAGGCGGGTGCGCGCGAGGACCGCTCCGCTCGCAAAGAGGAAGAAGATGGGCGTGCTGGTATTGTCGCGGCCCTCCCCGTGCAGAGACGAACGTCCGAAGAAGCCTTTTGAAGGGCGGGCTGCCGTGAAGACGGCGGTGGTCCTTTTGTGTCGCACCCCTTCGGTTGATCGTATCTCCGCAACAGTTACTTCGAGCGGAGGGGAGCCAGCGCGAGCTCGGACCGTAATTAGTGTATCGCGGCGATCACCTTGACTCGCGGGCCAATTACGCGGGCATTCGATTCGCTCTGCGCCCGGCCAATTAAGTTATTCGGCGAGCGTGCCGGTTCCTTTAGCCCGGCACCGAAAGAATCCCGAACGGCCGCGCCGTGTGGGAAACCTCGGCAGAAGTTTCGAAACGGAGCGATTTAAAAAAGTCCGGTAAAGGTTTCCGGGGAATCGCGGGAATCCACCGGCGTGGAAACCCGATAGCCGGTCTCCATGAAGATTCCGTGTAATAACACCGCAAATGGGAGGCGACCACGTGGTCGTGTGTCGGCCCGGTGGCGCGTAAATCATCGAACGCGCCGGGCCCCGGATAGGAAGCGTCGTTGCGTCTCGCAGGGCGCACATGTCCCGGATACACGGGCCCGGGCCCGCGAGCGTGGAAAGAAAAACAGCCGTCTTCGTGATGTCTTTGACGTGTTCACGCGCATGCCGGCCGTACACCGCAGCGGGGTCTCGCGACACCGTCGACAATGGGGGTTTAAGGCTTGCGGTCAGAGACTCGGGAAGTCGTACATTCGCGACCGCAACGGAAATTAAATCCACGTTGCTATCGCGGAATGTTCGGCTCGTCCGAGGGAAGCAGACGGCTTTTAGCCTCCGGCTCGCCTGGAGTCAGTCGGGTCTGCGTTATTCGACTAATTTCTCCGGTTGCCTCGAGTATGTCTTCTCCACCCCTAACCGTCTGGGCGTGTTAGCGCGGCGTAGACTTTGTATTCTTAGATTTACAGTTGGGTTATTTGTACGTATAACTATACTATCGTTGATCGACGAGGATCCACGAAATCTAGGAGAGTCCTGGCCACCGTTCGAGGGTCGAAACTGTTCGCCTAGCGTTCGAAGCGTCCGTTGCACACGCTTCCACGTATAATGGGTCTCCATTGTCGCTTTAATGGATCAATTTATGGTGGCCCGTTGACGTCGTCCCAGTACATCGATGCCCTATGCATCCGGACAATAGTTTCCCCCCGGGGTTTGTCCGTTGCCAATGTCGTCGGCAAATTGGGGGTGTTTTCTGTTTCCGGGATCGTCGACGAGTCGCGAAACGATCAAAGGGGGCCGACGATGAGGCCAATAAACGCGCGCGTCCACGGCGTCTATAAACGGTCGTGTTGGTTCTTCATTGGTAAATTGACGTTGGTCCTGCCTCGCTTTAAGAAGCATTAAATAATCGACCCCCTGCGACTATCAACCAATCGACCACGTCTATCTTCGTGTCGGCCGCGTCGTCCGATTGCCGTTGATCGGCCGGTCGAGATAAGATCGCCAACGGAACGATCGGTTGCCGAGTGGATTCTTTTGGGACGTGAATTACCTTGACGCGTCCGAAAGAATGGTAGACGCTTAAGGTTTCTTTTTCGTGGGAAATTAATAAAGGAGAGGAGAGTCGAATCTTTCGAAGCATCAAAGTGACGCGTGTTCGTAGTTCGCTGATCCATCGATTTTGCGCGATGAGCTCGACGGTTGATGGTACGTTGACTGATACTTTATTGTTCTGTTCGCAGGCATCACGATGAATTGGTCGGACCACGCTTTATGGTGGCCAGAGAGGAATCATTGGCTGACAAGGACGAGGAGCACCCTCGATCAGTACGGCGTCGCGGCTGACGCGCGGCTTCACTTCACGCCGATGCGCAAAACGCTGAGAGTCCAGTTGCCGGACATGCGTTGCCTCGATTGCAAGGTCGACTTCTCCGTGAAGACGTTCAACGCAGTAATTAATCTCTGCAAAGAATTAGGCAAGTCCGCGTTCCACGATCGTCCGTCGTCCGCGATACCCGGTTCTCGCGATGTATGTACGATACACGCCGGAGCGACCGATTGAAATCGATTCGAAGTCATTCGTATCGGACATTCTTCGAGATAATCCACATTATCGAAGACAGTCGACGTTCACGGCGGATCCGCGATACGGGAAAAGTAACGCGCGAAGCGTCCGGCGACGCATAGGTGTTAAACGCGCGCAGCAAAAAGCTTCGACGGTGCTAAATGGTCTACAAGGGCCGGCGTTTTGAAACGAGATTCCTGGACACGCCGTGGCGGGCGTGCGACACGTAACAGGGACGGTGTTAATTAATCGCCGTGATGAAATGAAATTGTTAAATTCAGTCACGCGAAGGTCACGGGTCCCTTCGTGCCTGAGCATCGGCGAGGCAGCCTAACGGGCAGCTTTTTAATCAAGGAAGTGGTTCGCCGCGATAACGAAGCTGCCTGTATCGCCGCGTCTAGTCTCCCGGCCGTGAAACACGGAGAAACGGGCTTACGTTTTTCTCATTTTTCAACGTTCGTCCTCGCGGCGTGCCGGAGAGAACGATTAACCGGCGGGCGTTATTCGTTCCGATCGCGTTCCCGGTTCGTCCGAGCGGCGATGGAACGAGCGCAGAAGCTACTCGCGAAGCAACGCGCGCATTCCTGTTGTAACGGTTATTAAGTCGTGGTTTCTTGCCTTTTTGTCCTCATACTGGCAGACAGATGACCTCGCCGATAGCCTTCCGCGTGTCACGCTCGTAAATAGACTGGGCAGCGTGAGCTGTTGCCACTGATATTGTTTCCACGCGACAAAAACATATGATGGGAACGGGCGGACCTCGAGCGGTACAAAAGTATTAACCCTCGTTCGTTCCCATTCGCCCCATTTAAGACGAGTAATCGCAACGTACATTCCGCGCGCCTAAATTCGAAACGTTCGAACCTATCGAGCGAAGAAATAGTATTTCGGTAACGCTCGCGTAAGATCATTCTACGAAACGGAAAACGATCAGTCGATCTAACAGCTGTCACGATGATTTAGGTATCAGACATCCGGAGGAGCTCTCGTTTTGCAAGCCGCTCGAGCCGAACCACCTGAAGTACAATTTGAAGGATCTGCCGGCGAAGAAGAAGATCGAGAGCCACAAGAATGGTCACTGGAACGTGCCCGCGGACACGAACACGTTCATACCGGTCAGCCAGAGTCCCAAGGGATCGACGGGCAGCCTGGACCAGAGCAGCCCTTTCATGTGCGCGCCGGTCACACCCAACAACAGAAATCACAGCACTCCGATCAGCTCGCCGGTGTCGGTGAGTACGAATTCTCGCGCGAAATCGTACCGCGAACGGTCACGCATCGGAGAAGGAGAGGGAAGAGAGAAAGAGAAAGATGCAGATACGCTCGACCGGATCGGATCGATAGGATCGGAAATACCGGAGAGAGAGAGCCGGGACCCAGGACCTGTTATGGTAATAAATAATCCCCGATCGACCTCATTGCCGCCGCTATGATTTATCGGTGTCGGGCTATCATTACCGCGCCGCGTAGCCGTTCATCTCTGGAAAACTAATTTGCTTCTCTTCGCGATCGGGCCCCGTTTTTCCGGGCCCCGGGAGTAGTCATTACGCGTATTTATTACTCCCCGGTACGGCGCGAGCCTCACCGGTCCGACCTGCCGCTCGCTCGCTCGCTCGCTCGCTCTCGAGTTTGATCCTCGCTCGCACCCGTTCCTCGCATCTCTCCTTTTCTGTTCCACAGCAAACCGGTACGTGGAAGAGGAACAACAACTCGTCCGGTTTCGGTAGCTCGGACTCGTTCAACGCGAACAACAGCACGATGAGCCTGGAAGCGCTGAACGGCGCGCTCTCCGAGTCCCTGGCGCAGAGCCCTACCTCGATCTCGCCGGAGGTGCGGGCGAAATTGGTCAGGCCGAAGAATCTCGTGGAGCGCGCCCGTATGAACGTCGCGTGGCTCGACTCGTCCCTGTCCATCATGGAGCAGGGGATCCGCGAGTTCGACACGCTGCGGCTCAAGTTCAAGTTCTACTCGTTCTACGACCTGAACCCGAAAACCGACGCGGTCAGGATCAACATGATGTACGAGCAGGCCAAGTGGCAGCTCCTCGCCGAGGAGATCGACTGCACCGAGGAGGAGATGCTGATGTTCGCGGCACTTCAGGTAAACTTTCGTTCGCCGGGAAGTTCGCTCGACGCGCGTAAACGTTTCGCCGGATCGACGTTGAACTCGTTGAACGGTTAATAGGGAGCAAAGAGAGAGAACCCCTAGATTTCCGACAGAGGAAATAACTGTCCATTTTAGAAACTGGCCTCGGGCCAGTGGCGGACAGCTCGCGGTGCGGAGCTTTCGTAACGTTGCCATGGTATTCGCCGGAACGGGGAAAGAATTGTGTACCGAATTCATTTGTCCGGTACGCGCGCACGTTCGTCTGTGTTTACGCGGTAAAGGCTTGACGATCCAAACATCCGGCGCCTGCACAGACCGGATCCATCTATATATACACCGAGAGCCGGTAGACGAAAATAGCTCGCGATATCTTGGAAGAATGTTGCCAAAGTGGTGTCAAGATTCTCAATAAAAAGAGTTCAATTGCATAATGGCTCGCCTTGATCCTCGTAGCAGGACACTCTACGCATAGAGATATCGCTACCCTGATTTTCCCGGATTCAATGAGTCAAGACTCTACATCGCGAATCTATCCGTTAGACGAGCATACGTTGAAAATCACTTGCTCACGCGGCTCGGGGAACCGGGATAAGTACTATTTAAAAACGTGACGAGAAGCGGTCCTCCGGTTATAGAGATCGGCGGGAACCCCCACGCGACGCGATCCATTTGCAAATCTCTTGGTCGGCGAGAGAGAACATTCTTTTTTCGATACGCCTACCAGCTCCCTTTGATCCGCGAGCATAACGATAAAAGGAGCGGACACGCGCAGCCGTGACGAGTGACGTGGTGTTTCGTGTTCGCAGGTGCAGGTGAATCTGCAGGCGAGCGTGCCGCAGCCGAGCTACGACAGCAACGGCGCCTCGTCGCCGGTCGAGGACGACATCGACGCGGCCCTGACGGACCTGCAGGTCACCCTCGAGGGCAGCAACATCAGCAACGGTCCGAGCGACATCACCCAGGTGCCGGAGCTGTGCGACCACCTGCGCTTCTCGAAGCCGAAGCGCTTCACGCTGAAAGCGTTCAAACGCTACTGGGTCACCTGCCGAGACCTTCAGCTCAGGCTGTACAAGACGCGGGAGGAGACGAACAGCACCGAGTCCCCGGCCCACGTGATCAACCTGCGCGGATGCGAAGTCACGCCCGATGTCCATCTGTCGCAAGGGCGCTACGGAATCAGGCTCGAGGTGCCCAGCGCCGAGGGCATGACCGAGATGTGGATCAGATGCGACAACGTGAGTGCATCCTCGGCCACGCCTTCGTTTGCGTCCGACCTTTCCGAATGCGATTAATTGCGATCACTGTCCTCGAACGGAGTGATCTGTCTTCGAGCCAAAGATTCTATTTTCTATGTCGCTTTCGCAGTGGGAAGGAAGGTCTTTGTTAAAAGTCTCAACGATCACTGTCTTTTGTGCTCTTTCCTCGCTGTAGTTGACTTGTTCGACGACGGGGTCTATAGTCGGCGGTTTCTTTTTGTTACAGGAACAGCAGTACGCGAAATGGATGGCGGCGTGTAGACTGGCGGCCAAAGGCCGCACCCTCGCCGATTCCTCCTACGAAAGCGAAGTGAATAGCATCATAGCCTTCTTGCAATTGCAGAGGCCCGCCCCTGCACCTGCGATCAATCCGAACGCCCTGGATATTGTACCGGAAGACTATGTCGCGCCTAGATTCGTGAAGAAATTCAAGGGAAAAGTACGCTACCGATATATATATATATCTGTCTTCCGATGGAACATGTCTCTTCGAATATTCGTTCGGGGTTCGCTAAACTTCTTTCTTTCCCGCAGCTGGTTCAGAGAATTCTGGAAGCGCACGCGAACGTGAAGGATCTTCCTCTGATCGAGGCTAAACTGAATTACATAAAGGCATGGCAGTCTTTGCCCGAGTACGGCATCGCGCTGTTCGTCGTTCGGTTCACGGGGAAAAGCAAAGACGAGCTGTTGGGCATCGCGAATAACAGGTTGATGAGGATGGAACTTCACAGTGGCGATCACTTGAAGACCTGGAGATACAACACCATGAAGGTGAGTGTGCATCGGGGCTGAGTGAACTTTAAAGGGGATACGTTCCGCTCGAAAATGTACAATTCGAAATGTTCTCGTTGCGCAGGCGTGGAACGTTAACTGGGAGGTGAAACACATGATGGTGCAGTTCGAGGAGGAGAGTATAATTTTCGAGTGCCAGTCCGCCGACTGTAAGGTCGTCCACGAGTTCATCGGAGGTTACATATTCCTCTCGATGCGATCCAAGGAGGTGAACCAAACGCTGAACGAGGAGATGTTCCACAAATTGACCGGGGGATGGGTCTAAGGGATCGTTGGACGTCCGTGGAACCGCGGGAAGCGACGGAACCCGTTCTCCGATAGCTTCCGACGCGCCCGACGTAGCCTCGATTTACCCATTTATTCTTATCGTTCGTTTTTTGGAGGAACAAAGAAAATCTCCGATCAGATAGGAACGACGCGACACGCATGTTGGCTGACATTTGTAAAAAATACTTAACTCTATACACTTAGGCACGCTTTATTCTAAGAGACTTGTAAATAGGTGAACAAGTTGTCCGTATACAACTGCCAAGATCGTAACAGATCGTTACGTCGCGAATTAGGGGACGAGAAGACTCGGGAGAATCCGTTTCCAGCGGATTTAAGATAACTAAGATAACGTGTTGATAACCGTGTTACTTTTTGTACATGACAATGATAAGCAGTTTTTATCCGCTGAGAATCTTGTTACGGAACACGCAGCGACGCTGCGCCTCGTTCAGCCGAGAGAAACACGCACAACGATCGACCCATAAACAGATAAAACCGCGCCCTTTTCTACACGCGACGCCGTTGATTAAGGTCATGAACGAATTAATATTTTTAGACCGATAAGCATGCCTCCCCCTCCTGTACTCTCTTCAACCCAGTCCCCCCAGCCCCCCTCCGACCATCCCTAGAGAATGTTCTCAATGATTTTTCGACGGCCGGCGTTGGGCCAATCTCTCTCGGGCGAATACATGTATCTTTTCTTTCACATCATGGGGTGCTATACCGAGCGAGATTGCCCCCCAGGAATTCGACCGGCACATTGAATCGTGTAAATTATTTGTTGTTTTAATGTAAACTATATATCTATTAAAAAAAACAATATTTACCTGTACCGTTGCATATTATCTATCTACATATAGAGGTCACGTTACCGAATGTGTAATCAGAAAAACTATAGTTTTGTATATTGATAGATGCTAGTTGTACAATAAACCTAATTATTACTAACCCCCTGGACACCGTCAATATCTCTACCCGAGAGCCCGTGAAACGAACGTGGATCGATTAAAACCGCGAGATTCTTTGATAAAGTATGCATTATTAAAAACCATGTATAGGATCGACAATAATCAGGATAGTAAAAATAAAATCAAGTACAAACATCGGCGTCTTTGCTGACGCACGGATTCCTAAGCGTCCTGCCGACGTCCGACGCACGAACACGAAGCTGGTTCATCCTGTGGTCCCGGCTGGTTTCCCGTCATTCGACGGCGGACAGCTGCGCGTTCTTTCCCTGGTTGTCCGTGGATTTAACCGCGCTACCTTGGCCGCGGTTCTCGGAGTTCTTCAACGAAGGCAGTCCTCTAAGAACCACGGGCACGTGACAGCCCCCCGCGGCTCCTGCTCCAACCAAATTTCCTCCGGCTCCGCATACCTAAAATGAAAATGAAGCTTCAGTGAAATTGTCTCGCACCTGTTCCGCGGTTGAGCTTTAAAATATAGATCACCTGCGAATGTATGGGCGGCGCCGAGTGCACGAGTCGTCCGGAAAGGGAGGTCGGTTTCTCTTTCTTAGTTCGGACCCATTCGTGACACAGGACCCTCTCCAACGTGAGCCTCAAGGTGATGTCCGGCTCCAAGATATGCTTGACAATATTCTTGGCCAACGCCGACACTGTTTCCCTGACTCGCGATCGGAACATCCAGTTCCTGGACATCTGGTCCTTCAGCAGCGTCTTCGGGTTTTCGTCGTCGAACGGCATCGTCGCGTTCAACATGATGAACAGAATGATGCCCAGGGACCAGACGTCCGCCAGTTTCGGATTGTACGGGGTCCCGGAGACGACTTCCGGCGCAGCGTACGCCGCGGAGCCGCAGTAAGTCTTGCTCAGGACACGCCTGCCGTCCTGATCCACGCAGAACCTCGCGAAACCGAAATCCGCGAGCTTCACGTTGAACTTCCGCGAGAGGAGAATGTTCTCGCACTTGAGATCGCGATGGGCGATGTTCTTCCCGTGCAGATAATGGAGGCCAGACGCCATCTGCCTGAACCAGAGCTTCGATTGCTGCTCCGGTACCACGCCGTTCCTCTGCACGAACTCGAGCAGGTCGCCATTATCCGCGTAACGCATGAAGATGAACACTCTCGGGCCACGCTGCAATATGCTGTGCACCTGAGAAACGTTCAGAGTTCAATGGCGTGTTATTTCTAGTCGAGCGGTCCCCGATGGAAAGTCTTCGGTTGCTTTTCAGTTCCGTTATTCGTCGGGCAGAATCATCTTACTTGGATGATATGAGGATTTTCGATCTTGGTGAGGATCTCGAGTTCGCGGGGGAAGAACTTATTCAGGAAATCGCGGGGCGCTTTCGTCTTGTCGAATATCTTGCACGCGAGTCGCAGTTTCTTCGAACTCGACCCGTCGACGTATTCGGCAAGATGCACGGTAGCGTACGAGCCCTGATGTAACGGGAAGAAGTCTTAGGCTGATTTTCAGTTCGGAGACAACACGAGAGAGAGAGAGAGAGAAATAATGTCGATCGAAACTGAGGATGAGAAGAGGGAAGAAGGATCATTATAAAAATTGTGGAGGGCAACGGTAATTGTCCAATAAGAAGAAAATCGTATCGAAAGGGGCTGGAAGGCAAGCGGTGATCACCGTTGAGACGGCTGAAAGAACATGCAGTTTCGCTTCAACGAAAAGGAAGAGAGCGCTGGGACACTTCAAAGGTAGCGCAAAGTTGAAAAAGAAACGCAGGGAACAATGTTAAGGAGCGGGTGAAAGAAACAGGTGCGGAAGAAGTGGAAGAGGTTAACGAACAGGTGAGGTATAGAGGGATGGGGGTAAATAACCTGTCCGATCTTTTTGCCAATCAGATAGCCCCGCTGCTCAAGAGCGTTCACCTCCGAATTTCGGGGGCTGAGTCGCGTGGCCATGCCAGTGGATCTTCATTGGATTTTTTAGACCGGCAACAGGCGAGTTTCTTTTTCTTTTCTCCTGTATGCGCGCTCCTGTCTACTTTCGCAGTCGTTCGCGTAACTTCTGCCGATTTTTCCCCGAATAACTATGAGAAAACTTGTGCTTCTTCGTAGCCCTCGACACGTCTGCCCATACCTTCCTCGAATCGGATGGAATTCTGTTGTGACAAACGTGCAGTTCGCGGTCCCCTACGAAGTCGAGGAACAACTCGCGTTATATTTTACATTGACGAACCCGTGTCCGGATTCCTTTCTGACATGTCAAATGGCTGCGTGGACTAGAATTTTGAGCGTCGAGACCAGCTTGTACCTGGTACGAAACGGGGCAGAGAGAAAGATCCGTGTCTCATTCGAACACAGCCATTATACTTAGAAACAACGAACAGTTGACCAGCGAGTGCGATTCAGTGTGGTCGGCTTTGATTATCAATTATGTTCAAATTGTACATCGGTGATCCGTATAGTCGGTTCGTCAAAAATCCGGAGGTTTTAGTTAGAAATGTGTAGAACAATTATTGTCGGCTTAATTATGTGTAAGATCGCGAGGAGCGTCTTCGCTGATCGACAGAGTTTCTCTAAAGTGTTTTAGTCGAATGTTCTTTCCAACGCAAAAGTTTAGAACAGATTCAAATATTTGGGGTCGTGTACCTTCCATTTATAGCCTATTATTGCTACACCGTGTACGCATGCCCGTAAAGTCATTGAATAAAGGGAGTTTTTAGGAAAAAATGACTTTTGCCATTGCATACCCTACACATCATTGTTGAAGTGGAAAAAAATAATTTAAATAAACAGCTGGAAAGAGAATACCTTTACAAATTGCTTACATTATTGTGCCTAATCATTTGCGCATAGTTTTGTAAAGATATAGTACACAAATATTGTTAAGTATAAATTAACAGTTTAAGGTGAGTGTGTAGAAATTATTTATTAAACGAACTTATACATTCCGTTGAAATGATTTATGCAGCAGGATCATCACCCTTAGTAGTACGTGTGTAAATCAGTTGTGCATGGTGTTGCACAACTTGTTTGATAAGTCCTTTTTGTTGTAATTCTATCAATGCCCTCCTGGCAAGTGAACCACGAATCTTTAATCTTTCGCTAACAATTGACGGTGTGATCAATTTGTACTGAGGTACTTCTGTCAACAATTTGTCGTATGTGCTCTTGTCGAACAGAACTTGATTATTTAATTTGTCACGTACTTTTCCTTTGGACCACTTCTGCAAAAACAAATAGTGAAATTAGCATCTCTCCTTTCAAGTTAAATTTAAATATGTTTATTGAAATATTATTTCAGTCTCATTAAATCAGTTTTTCTACTTCCACTGTTTATCAAGGAGATAAGGTTTCATCAAGAGAAGTTTCTTAGATATGATTGCAAGATGTAAAATAATGGGAACTATGACACAAACCTTCTTTTTGGCTTTGCCACCTGATCCTCCCTCCTTTTTCTTCTGAGTCTTCTGGGGTTGCTTAGAAGACCCTTTCGTATCCTTCTTAGGCGGCTAAAATGAAAGACGCAATCAGGTGAAATGTTCTTAGAACTTGGAGATTCTATATATTACAAACTAAGTTATCAGGCTCATTAAATCAGTGTATTGCTATCACGATGTTTTCTAGAATAGGTTTCTCATCATATGATATTCTTAGAATCAAAATATTAATCGTTGTACAACATGCTCTATAGAATTAGTATACACAAAATAGAATCTTCTGTCGTATCAACAAAGTACATACATTGGAGATGTCTTAATATGAATAAAATGAAGGTTAATCTTCTCTTTATTCAATGCTTTCAATAAAATAAGAGAACCGATCTATTAAAAATGAATTGGTACTAAACACGGAGAAATGTATAGTCAAATTTATCAGGCGTATAGTATACACCATGTGGATGAAGTCACTTGTTGAGGTTAACCGTTCAATCACATATAAAATTTATGGTGTTCTGTACAAGTATCTTGAAAGAAAAACTCACTGTACACAGATTAAAACTTTGTTTTCACTCACAGAATTGCTTCAAGAAAATCCAATGAAAAACAAAAGGGAAAGTGTGCGACGAATACTCACCATGATGGCTGTTCACTCGGAAAGGAAAGGGAAGTACGTCGGTCGCCATCTCTGAAGCTTATCTCTGTCAGCGACCTCTGTTTCACTACGTTAATCAGTTTCGTAACAACTTTGAAACAGAGACCACTTATAGGAATAAGGCAACAATGATTAAATAACTTCATAGTTAAATTGAAATTAATACCTTTACTGTATCATCGAAAGAGATTTAAACACTAAGAATTGCACGTGTCACATACAACTTGATGTCAAACTGTCAGTCGCTCAGGAGTGGCTGTAACGTGTTAAGCATGGCGCTCTGCCAAGCATTTTTCGTGCCCGGTTTTCTATCTTTTTGACGCGTTTGTAACATGTATTCGCTTCAAGAATACCATCAATGATACCACTTCAAGAATGTCATTAAAACTATATTGAGTCTTCGTTTTTATATACAGTTTCATACTGCAAAAGGTAAATCCATCGCTCCAGTTGCATTGCTATAAGGTTAAGAAATCTTTCATACTTGCGACGTGTCATTTTTTTTTTAAGGGACACAATTTTTTAATAATCGGTGTATCGTATGAATACTTTTATTAATAGCAACGTAACAGATCTTTTAAAACGGTATGATGTATTTAAAAGTATAATTTACAATTTTATTTACTTATCTATTTACGTATTTATTTATTTATTTATTTATTTATTTAATGAGCTGTGCGATTAACGAGTTCGATTTCAACATATTTTTAATCATATTTGATAACTATTCTTATGAAAGCATTGAATATGGATGTAAAATATTACCTTAGTGTGTATATGTTGGAATAAATAATGTTTCTGTAGAGAGACTATGTTTCTAAGTAACATATGTGATGCCTAATATATTAAGAAATGTGTTTTCTGTTTTATAGAAAGAAGATCATTCATAAAAACAGCCCTGGCAATCTTACAAAATGCTTCCTATTTCGCACAAAGATTCGAGAAATCTGGGAAACCGGATAAAAGAAAAGCTGCTGGGATGGAAGCGTCTAATATTTTCTGACAAAAATACTAGGAATTTGTTTATGTTCTTAATGCTAAATCTATCTTTTGCCTTTGTTGAATTATCATATGGCATATGGACAAACAGTTTAGGTTTAATATCGGATAGTTTCCATATGTTTTTTGATTGTACAGGGTTATTGTTTGGTTTAGCTGCATCTGTTATTACAAAATGGAGGGCGAATGAACGATATTCTTATGGATATGTCAGAGCAGAAGTTTTAGGAGGATTTGTAAACGCTCTATTATTATTCTTCATTGCTCTGTTCATTATGTCAGAAGCTGTTGAGAGATCCATTGAACCACCAGAGGTCAAACACGAGAGACTTCTTGTTGTGTCTGTCTTGGGATTGGTAGTTAATTTAGTAGGAATATATGTGTTCCATCATGGACATGGACACGGCCATGGATCGGGACATGGCCATTCACACTCACATTCTCATTCTCATAGCGGCCATGGACATTCCCATTCGAACCACAGTCATAGTCATGATCATCACAACATTGAAATTGATCCCTCCTTTAGTGGTACAAATTCTCAGATCATGAAAGGAGTATTTCTGCATATTTTAGCGGATACTTTGGGATCCGTAGGTGTGATCATATCTGCAGTGCTAATGCACTTGTTTGGCTGGTTTATAGCTGATCCAATTTGTTCCATGTTGATTGCAGTATTGATAGTTTTAAGTGTACTTTCATTGATGAAAGACTCATGGGAAATATTAATGCAAAGGCAACCAGCAGCATTGGATTATGTTCTACCACAGTGTTACAACAAAGTGACCCAATTAGCTGGAGTATACAGTGTACAAGAACCACATTTCTGGACTTTGTGTTCAGATGTATATGTTGGGTGTTTGAAGTTAGAAGTGGCTAGAACAGTAGATCCCAAATATGTTGTAGCACACACTCAGATGATATTCCAAGCAGCTGGGGTAAGGCATTTAACGGTCCAGCTGGATTACGCACGCATGTGATCTCTGAAAGACATTAATGTCATGAAGTGTTCTTATAAGTGCTCCAAGACTGTATCTGTTTGCGGAGTCTGCCAGAAACAAGCGCGGAACACAGCTGTAATGCAAAATATTTCTGTCATCTTAAAGCTGTGCAAATGCATTGTTCTAACTAACACCAAATATCAACTTGGATTACAAATTGTTTGAAACTATCGACAGTTCTTCAAAATTCTAGGTAACATTTAATACAGGATACAAACATACTCCTAAGGATTGTGTTTCATTTATAATTTCATTCCTCCGTTTTTGCTATTGTATATATGTAGATATCAATTCACTTGTATCTCTGGATTATTTACTTCTGTACCAAAATTAAATTAATCATTGTTTACAAGAACTATGATTTTGTACTGCTTGCTCACTGAAAATCATCGAACAGATTTTGTACTATTCATTCATTACACGAAGATTGCATTTAAACCATGGAAAAGGAATACTAGTGCATTAATTACATACTTTTCTTATCATAGCACGGCTATTTTAAGCTGCGTCTAATATCGTTTTCATCCGTTGTTTTGTTAGTGAATAATTTTACGTGTTGGTAATAACATATAATTTGAGCATTATAGTCAGGTGTATCGCAAAGGGATTTGACGAATAAATTACTATCTTTTTGTAACACCGACGCAATCATAAATGATCACCTTCAAACGGCCACAGACAGTTAATCGATATTATACAAGAACAAAAATGTATATTACATATACACATATATACATATAATTATATACACAATTTACGTCTATTTGCGATACATTTGATGTATATATGTATATGTATAAATACAACTTCACAAAGTGTAATATAAATTGATATTCTTAAGTTTCCGTGAAGTTAAAGTCTCCTCAAAATTGTACTTACTTCGTACAATTTATTTGTGCTAAGTGGCGGTCATATTTCGATGGATGCTTAACAGCAGATACAGAGGAAATTATATCACGGCGGCGTGTTTGTATTCGCGATACTCGTATCTGATCGACGGAATACCGCGTAACATCAAAATTAATTGTACCGTAGGAAAGTTTATCGGATCTTGTAACATTTCGCCCGAAGGCCGATAGCCGAGCTAGATTATCGAATGATTTGTAATCATGAATTTGTAAGCACGACCAGCGACATTCCATATAGCCGAGATTCACGATTTGGCTTACTTCGAGCTGCGATGACGACGTAGGTCAGAATCCGATGGCGGAGTGGAACTAAACGTTGATAGAAATCGATAAGAGTAATATAGGAAATTTTTCTATTGATCACGAAACATGACATACAATCCCATGAGACTTCTATTTAAGAAGCGCGATGAAGTTTTCAGGATGAAAGTGAACGTTGTTACGTTTTATTAACATAATTGTATAGATGGACGATGAAAAGAGAATAATCTCGATGTCAACAGGATGTAAATAATAAAGAAAAATGACTTATATTGATCTTGTGGTCGATCCTCTGAGTGTACTGCTCCTGTTTTAATGTCGTCGCCGGGAAATCATTAACCGGGCCCCATGAAACACATATTACATTTATTTGAAGGATATGTATACACATATAAATACATAAATATTTATAATAAAATCGCCGAAGCTGATTCCACACGTGGGGAGATCGTTGGACGCATCATAGGACGACACGCGTTGTGGCGTCAGCTTCAGGTCTCACCCGTGCTGTCAGCGTTCATCGTTTAAACGGACTCGCAAATATAACAGATCGTACATTTAAATATCTCGTTCGCCTCGTACGGTGTCAATTAATGCGTCTTTTATATATATACATATAGCAAACTATCAAAAATGAAAAATCGTGAGGAACGCTTGCCCCTGGATATCTAATCGAGGGAACATATACGAAGCGTTGCGCGTCGATTTCGAATTTTTTTCTTTTTTTCCAAACGATCGAGAAAACAACAGTGACAAGGGAAAGAACGAAATTACAGAGCTGAACGAGCTGAAAGATATGGCGGTGAACAGCCTCGGGTCGCTGATCGATTTCCTTACGATCGAAGGTTCGTAACGGTGCTTTAGTTTCACGGTGAAAGGTTGCACGATCGGCGGATAACACTTCGTATGGATCCCTCGCGACTGGACGATAAAAGGTAATCGAAAAAGTTCGTTTCGTTCGCGAAGTAATCGCACGTGGATAGGACAGGAAACGCTGTACGTGTGCGCGGTTCTATTTCGCGTGAAGCTCAACTGAAACCGATCGAATCGTATTCTCGATTTTGTTTTGTCAGATGCATGGCAGTATAGCATTCCCCGTGGTAATCTAACGTGTGCGGCGGCAGTTACCGGGAGATCGCGTGAAATCGCACCTAACATTTTCGTTCGGCGATCGTCGATCAATAGAAATCGTCGTGAAACCGCACGCTTACCCTAGAAAATAACGAACTTGTGATTAATACCGGCATAGGTCGCGGTCGAATCTACGATTTTACGAATTTGGCAGTCGTGTTGCACGTCTTCGCTTCGCCTCGAAGGTGTATCGGTTTCCCTTATACTTCTTTTTATCTCTTTTATTTTATACAATATAATAGCCATCATTCTTTTCTTTATTAATACGCACCGTAGAATTCGAGAATCCGATCTCCGGATACGTTTTCTCTACATGCTACCATATAGAATATAATATCTATAAAATTTCTTCAAGTCTCCAACAACGCGCCTTGTCCACCGTAAAGCCATTTCACTCTTGGATCGTCGATTGCCATTCAATCGATCGTAACATTTGATAATTGTGTTCAGAGTATTACTAATAATCGTAGTGATAATAATATTAATCGTAATAATAATAATAACAATAATAATAATAATAATAATAGTAGTAATAATAATAGTAATAATAGTAATAATATTAGTAATAATAAAACTAGTAATATGTAATAATAACTAATAATGATGACGATGTTCGTAATAATGACGATAATAATAATATATTACTCTGAATCGTATTTTACAGTCCATCTAATAACAACGAACGTATCTAGTTTGCAACAGCCTCTTTCATTTCTATTTTTCTCGTTAAATACCGTCTCGGTAACGCGTGTGCGCGCGTGTGCCGTTTGTGGTTGGTCGATTGCAAGATAATTTAATCCACTTTACCGTTTTAATTTGTCACCCGGAACGGGACTTTTCCTATCTCATCTAAAACAAGGACACCATAACGCCCTACGAATCGTTTCGCTTTCTTTCTTCCCTCGCGTCTTTAACGTACCATATCGAGAATGCTCGAGTTAATAACGCTACGATCTATGTGATCTATCGTTTAGGAGTGCGACCACGCGCGGAAAAGTAAATCACAGTAAGTACGAAGATCCAGAAAGTGTCGGCTTCATTTTCGATCCTCTTCGCCCTCTCACGCGTATCCGACATCAAATGTAATCTTCTTATCCTACACATGCCTCTTATGGCTAAAATCGTCGACGATACATGGCTCGTTCGACGGTGCTCGATTCGTTTCTTCCTAAAGCTATTCTCTTACGTACTCTGTTTCTAGATTCCTTCCTCTCGTCTCTGCCCCTCTACCCTTCTTTTCCCATACAGAGATCCGTTCCACCGGATCGACCGACTGCGAAAAGCCTGGCGCAACCCAAATACGTCCCAAGATTCAACCTCAAATCGAACACGTTCCCCCTCCATCTCCGACTTTGATCTCTTACCAATCCTCATCCCTTCAGGATCAATCGATCTCCACCATCGTCGTACCCGTCCTTCTGCCACGACTCCTCGTCACCGGGCAACTGAGAATCATCTATGTGCCAATCTCTTAGAACCGATCGTTCCGCGGTGAATCCTCACTTCTTCTTCGACTTCCCGTTCTTCTGGATCTTCGTGATCTTCAATCTACAGTTCGACCCGCCGGTGTAGACCACCTCCGCTCTGCCGCCCTCCTCCGTCGCGGTTACCAACGCCTTCACCGACTTCACGTGCACGTCCTTCGCGCTGATCTCCAACGAGGTGCCCGGGTACCGGTCCCTCACGCATTTCCCGATGCTGGACGCCTGCGTTTCCGTCAGCTCGACGCCGTCCAAGCAGAGCCAGGTGAGGTACTGCAGGTGTGTCAGCAGCGTCTGCACGAAAATGTGCTCCATCTGCACCTTCTTCGCGCTGTCGATCACGATCAGCCCGTTCGCCTTCAGGAAGCTCAGGTTGCACAGCTTCAGGTACTTCGCGATCTGCCGCGTCGTCTTCTCGCTGTCCTCGAGGGTCACCCGCCAGAAGTTGATTCTCAGGGACTGTAGGTTCCTGAAATGGGAGGACAAGCAAGCAAAGAACTGCTGCAGGATCTTGTCGTCGATGAACAACAGCGATCCGCTGCTCCCCCCTATGGTTGACTTGTCCAGGGAAAGGTCTAGCTCGCTGAGCGCGGTGAAGCCCGCGAGGAACGGCAGGAGAAGCGGCCCTCTTAGCGCCAGACGATCGTTCACTGTCACCTGGAATCAGAAATAATGCTCTCAGCTTTGTCCTCGGCTATTTCCCTCTTTCCGTTTCCCTCCCCGTAACGCGCCGTTCGGCACCGCGAGGAACCGGGCCGAGCCGAGTAACGAAGACGAATGGGAATTTCGGGGCTCGAGACGAATTCTGATCATGGCCGCTCTCCAGGAAAGCACGGCAGACGCTTTTATTACGTTCGAGGTCGGAGGGATGAACTGTCAAGGTCACCGCCACCACCACGACCATTCGATCCGTGTGGGAAACGACCTTGCCAGCCCGGGTTCTTCCTCCTTGGCTATAGTCGTCGTCGTCGTTCTTTTTATCCCGTTTTCTACGACCGCACTAATTCTCCGCCCGCAACGTATCGATTGAACGTCGGGCAAGCGACGCGACGTTCGAGCGACGCGGGCTCCCGGAAACCAGTTCCACGGATGGACAACCGCACGGGCCAGACCGCCGGCGAATCATCGTCGGCGGCCTCGAGTTACGAATTATCGCAGTGTCGAGTGTCTCTCGTTCGAACGGGAATACGATACGTCGGCTCGCGCGCGCGTTAAATTCCGTTTCTGGCACACGAACGTCTACCTGGCGACGACGGCCCATCGACAGGGGTGTGTAACGATTTCCCGCGCGTTCCTCGCTTTTTTTAAACGATCCCCCGTCCAATTTGGAGTCGTTACAGAGAAGACTTTGAAACTCGAAGGGAACGCTCGCTATTTAAGCGAAGAAAGGCAACTCCGCCGAATCCTCGATGCTTTTCCTGCACCGAGGAATCACGGTTTCGTCGATTCGGTACGGCCGCCGGTCTAATTCGTGATTACGAAACTCGGAGCTGAAAGAAGAGGAGGGATCCCTTTCATTCGCGAGAGAGCCCGGCCGTCGCAAGAGGAAAAGAGGATTACTTACTTGAAAACCGGCCAGTCTGAGGAATACAATCGCCGGACAGGCAGGAGGCGGCGCGGCCCTTAGGAGTTCCGCACCGGCGTCGTCCCGACGTCCTAATCTCGCCAGAGGACCCTCATGGACCGCCAGATGCAAGCGGGCGTTGCACAGGCTCAATTCGCGTACGCTGGTGTATCTCAGCAGCTCCGAAAACACCGCCAGGCTGTCCGATTCCTGCGGGCGCAGACAGATTTTCATCGTTAACGCTTTCATCGTATACTCCTGTTACTCACCGAGGAGTTTAGACTCAGTCGCATTCGGACGGTTTCAGGGTTAAACGAATAAGCAAGAACAACCTAGAACGAAAACCGGAGATTCCAAACCTTCACGGGCGGAGCAGGAAAGTCGCCAGTCCTCTCGACGAAGATTGATATCGGGAACGCGCGCGTCGAACCGGCGCGACCCAATTAAGTGACACGGTTTCTAAAGGGAGGTGTCATTAAGCGGCGCAACGCGGCACTGTGGCAGTTTCAAATTGATCTTGATTCCGTCGTCCCTTCGATCTGGAGCGACTCCGTCCCACTTCGCCTCGATTCTTCCGGCGTCGTGGAAACGCGACGCGGCGGACGCAAGCGAAGTACAGTTTCCTCCTTGGAGAATTCCGCGCGCTCGCACGGAGGACGGAAGCCGAAGAGGAAACCTGGCGGTTCGATGCGCCGGAGAGTTGCGCTCGAAATTACGCTCGCGGATATTAGATCGCGCCTCCGCTCGAGTTCGGTCTACGCGCGTAATCGCGCGCCGCCGGTGGCCTGTGCGTCGGGTTCCGGCGTTGTTTTAAAATGTTTGCTCGCTAATGAACGCAACAAGTGTCGGCCGGGTAAATTTATCCGGCGACGTTCGCTCGCTGCCGAAATTAATCCATCCGGAAGCCGCGGCGAGGCCGGGCGTTCCGCTCCGCCGCGAAACCGCCGCGTTTTATAACCGAACTCCGCGAATTCGAACGCCCCGTGGGAGCGCACTTCGACGCGGTACACGATTCCGCTTTCCGCGCGACGGTATTTCGCGGTCGGGTTCCTTGGAACGGAATTTTTCAGGCCGGTTCCCCCGGGAAGTGAATTAACGCTCCCGCGGAACCGTTTCGAAGATTTAATGCGGCAAAACGACCGGAATCCCGACGCCAGTCGACGGAACAACCCCGAGGGTTGGCTTTGCGGCGGCAACAAATGAAAGTGCTCTAAGTGCTGCATAAGGTCGCACAAAGGAAACGGTGGCGCGGGCGCGAACAAACGCAACAAGTTAAATAAACGAACACTCATTATTTCGCAGCCGTTTGACGCGACTGCCGCCGACAAATCCGCGGAGTTAACTATTCTCTGTGGCGCGACCAGGCGACGCGGCGCGTTTCGTCCCGGCGGTTCTCCTCCGTAATTATTGACGACGTTTCCCTCATCGGTGGCTCGCAGCTTTCAACGCGAATCGCTGCGCCCGTTTGCTCTCCCGTAAACTTCGCCGGCGAGCGGCGCGATCGCGAGTCTACCGACGGGAACATCCGGTTCCGGGCGGAGCGTGCGCGTTTTCATCGATTCGGGAGAAACGTGCACTCGAAATTGTCCTCGTCGCCGGGCCGGTTCGCGCGTCGCGAGTTCCATCGCTCCGAGAAGAGCACCGCGGCGGTCGTATGAATACGACGGATCGCCGTTCTTTTTCAAATGGAAATCATCTCGACTCGCGACAGGCCGAACAATAATGGCCCGTCGCGGGGACGTCCGCGGCTCGCTCGCGAGAGGACCGATCCGACGAGCCGCATTGTTTGTAATCATCCCCGCGCGTTAAATTAAATCTGCCACCGGACTCGCCCCGTCCGCCCGCCTCATTGTTTCCGCGCGTGATATCACCAGGCCACCGGCAGGATTTTACGGTTGTACAATTTATCTGGGGATATTCTGCGAATTACGCGCTTCCCGAGCTCCAGCCCCACCTCCCCGTATTGTGTAGTTTATCCTCGTTACTGACGCGATTAAGCGGACCCGACGCCTCATCCGGGGAATCGATGGCTCGAGACCTAAATCGCGCGGGCCAAGACGGTTTATATTAATCGGAAACCGTTCGCCCTCTATTAGGGGAGGAAACTTTCATTCTGGAAAGATGGCGGACTGTATATATTATCCAAAGGGATATTCATCCGCGACGTTTGTTTTACAATTTCGAGGTAAATCATTGTTCAACCCTTAAAGGAACGGAGGTATTTCCAGCTGACTTAGAAAGGAGTTCACAGAAGTGAACAATACTTAATGTTTATTGTAAATATTACAACGTTAACAACGATGAAAGTAATAAATGATTTCTACCGTCGTTTATACGGCACTGGGTTGTCATACTGCTTCGTTAAGGGTTAATATTCTGCAAATGGAGTTCTGCTTCGCCGACTGATTCCACAGAGGCGGGAATGTGCTTGCGAATTAGTCAACAGTGAAATTTCATACATTTATAAAATATATTTCAAACGGAATAAAACATAGGCTTCCATTCTCCTTTACCCGTACCCAGGACCGACGAACACAATGGGAACGTCCGACCTCGTTGTTCGCGATTCTTCATTATAAAAATTGATTCGAAAAATTCCACTCTGCACGGGAGCGAGGAATATTCTAGACCGACTCGGTGCTCGCGAGCGGAGGAGGTGTATTCCACCCCCGGGGCAGAAAGGTTGGGACACTTGAATCCAATTCGCGGTCTCCTCGAAGCGACCGACAAACCGAGGAGAACAGTTCTGACGATTGACTCGGGACATTTTTCTCAGACGTCCTCTCCGAGGAACACCGCGTCGAATCAACGCTCGGCGGAATCGGTTTGCATAATGTTACGATAGAGGCCAGCCGCCCTGTGTGCGTCGGGCGCGAGCGGTATTTTCATGGAAATATTCAAGGATCCGCGTAGGCGGCGGTCAGGACCGCGTACAAGGGGATAGGTGCCCGGCGGGGTCGAAGTAACGCGCCGGAATGGGGTGCCATGTAATTTATTGCGACCGATATTACGGCCGTTGTTGCGAGGGATGGGAGCATCCAGCGGCCCGCTAAGAAAACCTATTTTATGGGGGCTCGGGATCGCGCGCTCGCCCTTCTCGAAGGCCCCGTTCGCCGTGGAATCTCAATAAATTGTTTCCTGATTGGCCAGAGTAGGCAAGGGTTGAACAGTTTCTGCGGCGTCACGGAAATTCCTCGGCCGGTTACGAGGCAGAAATTTCAGGAGGGAATCTTATAAATACACCAGGACTCGATGGGATCGCCCCAATTTCATTGAAATTATTCCTTTCGTACGAGTGCATTTGAATTCCAGGTCATCCCCGTCGTCGTTCCGTCAAACGAGATCGCGTACCCGCGATGATCCGGTTCGGACGGTAATAGATTTATCCAAATTATTCGCGGAAGAAGGATTTCTATTTAAAGCCGCCCGATAGGGAAGAGGAGCTTCGAGCTGGAGTAACGCGAGGATCGATCCTCGAGCGGGTCCATCGATTAGAATACAGGTTTTATTAGCGTGATCGTTGAAACGGACAAAGCGGAGTTTATAAATCATCCCGACGCGGTGTTTTGCATGCCGCCGGATAATAAATAAGGGGTGTCCTCTCCTCGAAGGAGCGTTCACGGGTAATGGCCGGGTCGTTAGACTCGACCGGCGATGATCGATTCGATCGCTTAATGCGCCATTTCTCCTGTATTCTATTTTCCCGGGGAAAACCGGTCGGCGAACAATGTAGCCGGCCGGGTATCCCGCGGAGTGCGCGCCGCGCGGATTTAAGTAAATTGGATCACACGGAAAGGGAGTGCTCACGGGAGCATTTTTAATAATGGAGAATCCATTTGGCCGTGTCGCGGACGTATATCTTGTTTGCCTGGCTTCCGTCGAGCATCTCCGCGCCGGTATTGTACTTTATTTCGCGGTGAAATCTACTCGTGCCTCCGTTTTGCTTTTAAATAAATCAGCTCTCTCCGGCGGCGGGTGGCAGGGGGCGGGGCGAATCGTTTCGATCGTGCAATCGTACACGTCCCTGTTTCATACGATCCGCCGGAAAACACGACGCGATCGCGCCGAGTTTGTTTTAATTAAATTTAGCCAACGACGCCGCCTATCGTGCCGAGAGATCGAGGGGAAATCGTTTCAGCGCGATCGTCTATCTCGTCGCAGTCGACTTTTAACCTTTGCCGGTCCGCGCTTCGTATGTATTCGATGGGACGAAATACGTGCTCGGTATTATTAATGACAGAATCCACGCTTTCAATTGGATTATCGTTAAAGAACACTTCTGCTCGCGTTCAACGTGGAACATCGAATTCAAACGGAACTTCAATGCATCTTTATCATTGTTCCCTCCACTTATCGCCGAAGAACTGAATTTCCACCGAAAAGATTCATTCACGTTCGATAAGTATAAAAGAAATATCGTGGATCCGAATGGACCTTTTATGTCATTGCTCCTCGATGAGGCGTCATTCACGGGAAGACCCGTTCCGCGCGATCTTTACCAGTTTTTCGATACGCCGCGGATTCGAATAAATAGGTCGCAACACGCGCCGAATAATAGAGCAAAGGGAACCGAGCATAAATCCCGGCGATGAAAAATCAGGCCATGCTACGCGGATGATCCGCGATCCGTCTTATCGGCGGAACGCGTTCGCTCTCGTTTCCCTCTTATCAATTCACTGGCTCGAGCCTGTCCAACTTCTCGACGCTTTCATCGTCGTGGAACATCATCCTCGCAGCGCCGGGATGAACTTTAAATCGAATTCAACGGAGACGGCAAGTCGATGATCAGTGCGAAGGCCACCGAGGAAAACAAGAGAAAGGCGAGGGGGAAAATCGAACGATCGGACGCGAGCGGGTCGACCATCAACCCGGCCAAACGTGTTTTCTGGACGAAAGTCGTTACCTTAAAAAGTGTAAGTGATACGAAGAAATTCTTCGGATGAAAGTTGCGAGGTGTAACGGTAAACACATGGTGGTCATATGTTTTTTACGTTATAGGGATATTCTGCAGTTTCTTAAACGACAATGGATATTTTGCTATTCGACTCAGGCATGATATAAATAGAGAAACAGAATATATTCGCAGAAAGTTATTTTTGAAATGAAAATTATTATGTGACTTTCGTTATCCAAATAGTCGAATTCTCGGACATGTCCATCGGAGACACTGTGCGTCAACTCGAAACATCATGAAACATTGTTTAACCAGT